GAGAGAGAGAGAGAGAGCGATCAAGGACATGCTGGCTGCCGGGGTGATCCAGCCATCTTCCAGCCCTTGGGCCTCTCCCATGGTGTTGATCCCCAAGAAGGATAGGTCAATCTGGTTGTGTGTGGATTACCGGATACTTAATGCCATCAAGTTTGATGCCTAGGCCTGATGAGCTTCTAGACAAGTTGTGGGAGGTTTGTTATCTCACTACCATGGATCTCACCCAGGGCTCCTGGCAAGTACCTTTGGATCCGGATGCCTGGCTGAAATCTACTTTTATCACCCCTCGGGGGTTATACAAGTTCCTTTCGGCCTAAAGGGGGCACCTTCCAGCACCCAGTTACTCAAGGGGATGGAGCATTTTGCCCTGGCATATATTGATGATATCTGCATTTTTAGCCAGATCTGGGAGGACCACGTGTCCCAGGTTAAAAAAGTGCTGGACCAGCTCTGGATCGTAGGTCTGACTATAAAAGTTGGGAAGTGCAAGGTGGGGGATGTCAGAGGTGTCATACCTGGGCCACAAAGTGGGGGGCAGCTGCCTAAAGCCAGAGCCGGCCTAGGTGGAGGTGATCAGAGATTGGCCCGCTCCCCAGACTAAAAAGCAGGTCCAGGCTTTCACTGTGATGGCAGGCTAGTACCGGAGGTTCGTACCCCACATTAGCTCCATAGCCGCCCCAATCACTGAGCTATGTAAGAAGGGTAAGCCAGATAAGGTGGTCAAGACGGAGCAGCGCCAGAGGGCTCTCTGTGCTCTGAAGGAGTCTCTCTGGTCAAGGGCCCGGTGCTGGTAAGCCCGGACTTCAACAAGCCCTTTATGGTGTTCACCAACACCTGAAAAAGAGCTTGGTGCAGTACTAATGCAGATTGACGGAAACGGGGAGAGATATCCCATCGTGTACCTGAGCAGAAAGCTGCTGCCCGGAAGCAGAACTATGCAGCCATAGAAAAGGAACGTCTGGCCATGGTATGGGCCCTTAAAAAGCTGCAGCCATATCTATTTGGGCAGCGCTTCACCGTGTACACTGACCATTCGCCCCTGACGTGGCTACACCAGATGAAAGGGGCCAATGCCAAGGTACTGAGGTGGAGTCTCCAGTTTCAGGGTTATAACATTGAGGTGATCCACGTTAAGGGGAGTGCCAACGTTATAGCTGATACTTTGTCCTGGAGAGGGGGCCAGAATTTCCCCAGGCCACTAGCTAAAGTGGCCCCCGCTCAGTACGGTCTTGGCGCAGGAGAGATGTGACAAAGTGGGGTTTTATTCATCTTATGTTGCATGTGAGTCTTACTGTCCTATACTAATACTGTGTGTACCTTAGTTTCCCAGTGTACTGCACCAATACTTAGCTGCTGAATCCCCACTCTGTCACTCCGAGCGCAGGAAGTGGGGACCCTCAAGGATTCTAAAAATTAATACTGGCTGCTCCAGGCTTGTATTACACCAAGGTTACAGCTTCTCTCTGACTTCGGCTTGGTAAACACTGCCACCTCCAAATGCCAAAAAAAACCCTTTGAACCCAGGAAGGAGCACATGGGAATTCCTCCCTGTGGGGTACCCTCAAGCCTTGTCACACACACCCCTCCAGGGGAAGAGCTGAGCAAGAACACAAAGGAAATTAGCTGTGGCTACCAGCTAATCAAACATGCACAAACCTCTTATTTTACTAATAATTACATGAAGAACGAAACAGTACTTTTTACATTCCAAGGACTACAAAGACTTAGAATACAGGGACATTTTTACCCAGCTGACTGCCTAGTTGGAAGAAGATGATCACTCTAAGGAGCTGGTTCCTGAGCCAGCTGGGGCCGCGAGAGAGGCTGGGAGCAGCCAGGCAGCCCCAGGGGTCATCCCAGTCACTGACCCAACCGGGGACGCTGGAGGAGCTGAAAGCAGCCAGGCAGCCCCAGAATCCACCTACCTGACCAGCAGGGGATCTTTCCAACCGAGATCCCCATTGGTGGAGCTGAGACGGTTGGAGTTGGAAATGGGACTGAAACCGAAAGAGCTGGAGGACCGTGAGAGACAGAGGCAGCATGAACTGGTGATGGTGGAGCTGAGAAGCAGAGACTCCAACCGTGGTGAGTGGGGATGGGCCCTGGGTGGCTAAGCCCACAGGGAACTGATATCAAAGTGCTACCTCAGTTTAAGGAAGGGGATGATATAGATGCCTTCCTCACTGCCTTTGAGAAGGCTCACAACATGCACCAGGTTTACCCTGCTGACAGGCTTCGGCATCTCACCCCCTCACTGGGACGTGATTGAACTAATGGGGCTGGAATGACTATATGAACTCTGTCCCCCTGACCAGAGGATGTGGTTCATGGACAAGAGGCTGAAGGACCTGCGCTGCACAGGGCTGCTGGCTGACGAGTTTGTAGACAGCAGGACAGGATATGGAATGGAATCCCAGGGGGACAGGCCCATATCAGTGCAGAAGAGGGGGTCACCCAGGGGCTTCCCCTAAGGGAATCTCAGATAAATCCCACCCGAGAGGCACAGTACCAGAACTGACCGACCAGCCCCAGGGGACCAACAGGACCTGAGGTGTAATTACTGTGGGCAGGGGGTCCCACAGATGGGCCCGGTGCCAAAAGCTCAGGGACGGGATGAGCAAACTGAGCCCTCAAAGGGTTAACTGGGTGGTAGCCCAGCCAGAGGAGGGGCTGGCTCCCCAGGCGGGAGGGGCTGGCAGTTTAGCAATGGCCCAAGAGGGAGGAGTCTCCCAGGCCAGCTTCTCGGGGAGGCTTAATGCTCTGGATTCAAAGCTCTCAGTCTACAGCGTGGGTGTGGGGCAGCCCCGGAGGAGCGAGTGCCTCATTCCCCTGGAGGCGGATGGGAAGCAGGTCACTGGGTACTGGGACACGGGCCCTGAAGTGACACTGGCCCTGAAGTGACACTGGCCCAGCGCGAGGTGGTGGCCCCAAACTGGGTGGTGCCCAACACCTACCTAACCCTGACGGGCGTGTGCGGGCCCCAGTTTAAGGTACCCCTGGCAAGGGTATATCTGAAATGGGGGGCCAAGGAGGGGCCCAAAGATGTAGGGGTGCATCATCAGTTGCCAGCCAAGGTGCTGATAGGGGGGGGGTGGCCTGGCGGATTGGCCGGGCAGCCCCCAGAGCACCCTAGTCATCACCTGTAGCCAGAGCCAGCGAAGGGCACTCTGCCCTGGCACCAGGGCAGTACCCTGCTGGGGGTGCAGGTCCCTACCCTGGTGGGAAAGGAGTCACTGGGGACAGGACTTGGTGGGGCTGCAGCCTCTGACCCAGCCACTGAAAGGGAGCAGGTCTCCATCTCTTCCCCAGCCGCTGAATTCCAGGCTGAGCTGCAGAAGTATCCTTCCTTAGAGAAGCTAAGGGAACTTGCTGGCCACAGCATGGTGAAACTCCTGGGGGAAGGCT